CTTTTCTTTTTAGAATAGATTTTCTCTCATGGAATTACTTGTGTGCCTTTTCCTAGGTACATGACTTGATGTACTTTGGTGCTTTGATTTGGATCAAGAATCAAGGAAGGTTGACTCCTATTTTTGCTAGCACATGGAAAACAAGGTTTAATTCTCGTGGAAATTAGCTTTAAAAGGTTCAATTGGGTCATTTGCGGGTATTTACACCCACCTCAAATCCAGTAATATCTTTCTTTGCTCTTTCTCCATTGGTTGATCACTTGTTGGACATATGTTGGTTTGATTGGATTGATATCCTTGTTTTCCCCTCCTACAGAATATTTGATTTATGTTTGAGCATGTTGTCTCATTCAAGCTTGGGGAGGGTATTCTATCATGTTTTGTGGGATTTGGATTCATATATGCCATGCACATTTGTATATGCATTTTCATGTTCTTTATTTTGAAAAATCCCAAAAAGGTTTTTGTTTCTATCAAGGCAAATTTACAATGTGTTTTTGTTTTGTTCTTGCTTTGGACATAATACTTTTGGACTTGTATAGTTGAATGCTTTTCTTCTTAAATGGTAACGGTGTGCATGGTTTGAGAGTATGCTTGGTTGATTCTAGGATAAAGCATGCTAAGTTAGTTGGTTAGAACTAGTGGGACCATGAAACCGGATTCTACTTGTTTCATGTTGGTAGTTGGTTCCAGTAGTTGAATTGACACCAATAGTGAGTTTTTGCTACATCCATGTGAGGTTCAATATTTTTCAAGCCTTCAACATATATTTGCATGAGCGGCATGGATCCTTAACTATTGCGGACCTAATCTAGAATCTTGACTCATAATTCTCAAACTCGAGACTAAACCATCTAGGGAGGACAAATGCATCTTTTCGGGGTGGTAATTTTTCTTTTCTAGGATAGTTTTCTTATTTTTGGTTTTTGGATTTACATTTGCCTACTTGCTAACCATTTGAGCCTTTTCCCTTCTTTTCAAGCCACATCTTTAGATCTTGAGCCTTTTGTTTTATTTTCGTTTCCATTCTTGATTTTTGTGAAGCAATTGATCATTATTGTTGGAGTTTGTGGTGGAGGAGATTGGATATTTGGTTCTCTTAAAAGCAAGTTTGTGTTGTGATTTATGTGTGAATAATGGAAAATGAATAAATGAAAAAGCCGTCCAAAGTTAAAAAAAGGCAAGGTCAAAGTAATTGCAAAGTTAAAAAAGCCATCCAAAGTTAAAAGAGGCGAGGACAAAGCACTAATAAAGAAAAAAAGAAAAAAAAAAGTGAAAAATGAAAAAAAATGCAAAAATATTTTGATGTGAGTATCCTTCTCCCTATTTATAGCATTGAGGAAAATGCTCCATTTAAGCTTGCGGGGAAGCGTTCTCATGAATAAGCTTTGAATAAGCTTGGGGGTGTTGGTGCTTTTTTTTTGATGCTTGCTTGATTATGGTGTTTAGGATTGATTACCCTTTGCTTCATTAATTAGGAAAACCACTAAATTTAATCCTACCCTCACCCTTTTTCCCTTACGTTATAACCTTTGGGAAAGCCCTTTTGACCTAGAGGTTGAGTCACCTATCGGGGGAGGGAATTATGAGTCATAGCCTAAGGAGAGGGGATGCATAGTCAAGACGTCGAGTAGCCCAAAATATTCTCTTTTCCGGTTCCTTCGTGGAACTTTTGAGATGCTTACTAGGGGAAGATATGAGACTAGTAGGGAGAACGCGGTAAGATCGTTTAGGATTAAAGTGGAACTCGTGTATTAGGATTTGAATTCATGACTTTTTGGGGGACCTTGAATTAGAATTGATTCTATCATTACACTTTTTTATAACAAACAAGTAGGAGTCGCCAATGAGTTTTGGGAAAATTCATAAACCTCGTTCATGCCATTCTTCCATGTGGAGTTCATGGAATAATTAGCATGAATCGTAAGTTTACCCATGCCCAAATTGGTCTACATAAACCAGAAATGAGTTCGGGAACGAGGGTACTAAAATAACGTTCCCTTTAGGGGGAATCGCTATCCTAGCTCTAGTTGCGGCCTCTACTAGCTCTTCCGCGAGCGCATCTCTAGAGGTTGCGTTGAGTGTTGCGCGCAACTGAATTAGTTGCGCGCGCTTGCCTAGCGCAACTGATTGAGATGCACGCAGCTTTTTCTGCGGCACCATTAAAATTTAACCTAGACGCTCCTAAATATGTCATTATTGGGTTTTAAGAACGGGCTTAAGCCTAATCATGATCGGATTTAGTTAATTAGACCTTGTTTAGCTTTGTTCTTTAGTTTGGGCTAGTATTTTGTGTTTCGTGGCTTAACTAGTTTATCCATAAGCATTCTCCACTTCAATCCAACACGAAGATGGTTTTATTTATCGTCATTGCACTTCTTGTTGGGACAGGTTGCCAAAAGTAGATGTCTACAATAGCCGAGCCACCAAGCAGCCAGCGTACAAGAGCCTAGCCTGCAGCCGCGCGCGCTGGTGACCTAGTCACGGGCGCGGGTGGTTGCAGCCCAAAACTGCCACTTTCGAGCAGTAAGTAGTCGCGGGCTGGCCGCGGACGCGAGCTTGGGGGTTTCTCCTCCGCGGGCGCGGCTTTTTGGGTTTTCTTTACGATTTCATTTCTTTTCTCTGTTTGTTTATATATTGTACGACTTTCTTTAGTCTTCATACATGAAATTCTTTAGTTTTAGAATAGTTTTTTTCTCTTCTAAGAAGATTAGGTTCATGATATTATTTATTGCTATATAGTATGACCTATTTTCATGATATTATTTATTGCTATATATAGATTAGTATGACAATTTTCACCCAATTCCTAGCCAAATAACTATTCAAGAATCATCAAACATCAATTGAATAGTTGTAATTTCATGACTAGTATTGTTATATATTCCTATATGATAGTTTCATGATATTATTTATTGCTATATATAGACTAGTATGACCTATAGATTCTAAATACGATCTGCGCATCGTTTCGTATTTTTGTAATCTAAATACAGTCTGTGTACCGTTAAGTATATTTGTAATTTGTAATTTGTTTTTTTGTTTTTTTTTATTTAAGTAGTAGATAGAATAGGATAAATTATAGGTTGCAGTTAATCCAAGAAGCCAATGGAGTGGAGGGCCAATGGAATAAGATGGATGAGATCCATGAAGATTCAAGTGGGAGCATTTTCTGCTTTATTAGTTTTCTTAGGATTAAGGGGTCATACTATGTCATGTTTTACCTATGCATTAGTAGATTATGCATGTTAGATTTTATTGATGCTTGTGATGATGCGCTAGAGTTCACTACATTAAAATCACAAACATAATGAATCTAGGTCCCGGTAATATTGAGGTTGCTTTTCCAATTAAAAATAAACCTTTGATATTTGTGATGGGTCATGCCAAAGCTGGGTGTCATATTATATCTTGGGAGAGTTGGGGTAAATAAAGTTTTGCAATTTTAATTGGTTATACTCAACAAGGTTACCTAAAGAGTTTAGAACCTTGAAGCTAAGTGTAATAATTAAACATGTGATGATTAATTATTCAACCAAGAATTAGAAGAGTTATAATCAGTAAAGAGTTAACTCACCTTGAAAATGTAATGGTTGGTGGCAGGGCCAAAGTCTGGTCAATTATTGCACAAATAAAGGATTTTGGAATCACTTAATTCAAATTGGGATCATTTAATTGAATAAATTTTTTTAAAGTTACCAAATTTAAATAGCTTATGGTACTTTAAAATTTATTAAACATAATTGAATTTTGCGTTTACTTTTAAGTAACATGTTCTAATTTTATTATATAAATCTCCTCGATTGAAATAAAAGTTGAGAAACGTTCTCAATAGATTAAAAGATAATCCATAACCCTATATAACAATTTTGCTAAGATGGTTCTAAAAGGCTAGTTTTAAAAACTATGTCAAATGTCTAAGTTTGGTTTTATTCAAAATGTTTGAGTAAAATGCCAACACATCTTCATTTTTAAAAGTGTTTCAAGGGATATTGTAACACCCCAAAATCTCTCTCTATGGAAATATACTAGTATAATACGTATAATTATACCGTAGAGATAGACTTGGGCGCATTACCGCCGCGTGATTACGCAAGGCTACTCAAAGTACTTAACTCAACAACAAAACTTGCAGCGGAAACTCAATTTTCTTTTATTAATACTTATAATAATAGTAACATTATTGTGAGTGCTCAAAAATAAAGACAAGACCAACATTCCTAAACTAGGTGAAGCAAATCCATGGACTCCCATATGCTCATTCATGACTCCACCTGAAAATAGTCAACACTGCTTACCATTATGGTAAACAAGGCGAACCAAAACAAAAAAGAAATACGGATTAGCAAAATATGCTAATTACTAGTAGAAAAATAGTCATTGGAACCGATCAATGGCCACCGGTTTTTTAAAACCGGTGGGAAAAAGAAGGAGAAAATTCGGCGGGATTTTGAGCGAAGATTATTGCCACCGGTTCAAACCGAACCGGTAGGGAAAATGTTAATCCCACCGGTTTAAAACCGGTGGCAATAGTAAAAAATAAAAACAAAAAACGCCCCTCTATTTTCTCTCTCTTTCCGCATTATCTTTCTCTTTCCTCGACCCTCGACCTAGCTTTCTCTCTCTTCTTTCTCCTCTCTCCTTAACTAGATCTCCCTCTTCTCTCTCTCTTTCCTCTCCGGCCGTGCCGTCGTCCAATCCACCTCGCCGGCGCACTCTCCTCTCAGCTCTCTGTCTATCTATCCATCCCACCTCGCATTCACTATCCTCTCAGCTCTCTATTTCTCTCTTTCATTTACCCTCGCATTACCACCAACACCGCCGCCAATTCGAACCATGCAAGCATCAATTGGCCAACTCCACCGTCGCTGCCGTCTTCAATTTGAACAAAATACAACAACAACAAACTTGAATCAATTATCGATTCAAAAATCAGAAATTTGATGTTAGGGTTTCCGGGTTCTTTGGCTTTGCGTTTTGGTCCAATTATTCAGGTTAAATGCCTTGATTTTTTTGCGTTTTGGGTTTAATTTATTTGGTAGAATAATTGATTGAATTCAGGAAAGAAATATTCATGATTGTGTATGAAGTATGAAATTATCTGTTTTCTGAATGATAATTAAGATAAATGAGGAGTTGTTCCATTGTTCTTTATGAATTTAGTTGGTTAAGGTGGGTTCAGGTTAGGGTTAGGGTAGGTTGAGGTGGTGGATCTGGTGGATTAAGGTGGGTTTAGGGTGGGTTAAGGTGGTGGATCTGGTGGGTTAGGGTGGTCGGTCTGGTGTGTGGGTTTGGGTTAGGGACTTATAGTGGGTTATGGTGGTCGGTCTGGTGTGTGGGTTCGGGTAGGGGTGGGTTGAGGTTGTGTGTTTGGGTTTAGGTGGTGCATGTGGTTGGTTAGGCGTGGTGGCTGTGGGGGCTACCAACGGTCAACTTTATATTGACTGTAATTTGTTTGGACAATTAGGTTATTTACTTGTTGAAATTGGCTTCGTAAACATCGATTGATTAAGCTATATGAATGTGTTAAATTGACTGTGGGTATATTAATTAATGTCTTCATTTGGTTGATTTTTTTCTATCTATTTTTCCTGTTAATCAAAATCTCCATTCCTTGCCCTGTTCTGCCGCGACCTTGAATATCTAAATCGTGGTATGAATCACATAATTTAGTTTTTTTTTGGGATTTGGATAATCAGATTAATTGTATTAATGGGAGAGCATTTGTTTACTTTTTGTTTCAGAGGTATTGTCACACTGTCCTTGAAAAGGGTCCAGAAGCTGAGTTTTTTGAAGAGCTGGGTCCTAAAGCAATGGTTGCTTCTGGTAATTATCCGAGTTTAGCTCTATCTTTCAGCATTTGAATTTATGTACTCCGTATATGTTTATTTCTCAAGCTTCATAGATGCATCATTTTTGCTCAAATTATAGGCTATTTCACATCTTAGTTATATGTACTCCGTATATGTTTCCCCATTTTCCTAACGTCTCTAGCACGTGTTTTCTTAATTATATATATGTAGCCTGTGATTTGGTGTTTCTTCTTGTAATGGTTTTGTGAGTATAGTAGTATCTAATGTGATTTTGTTAATAATTTTGGATATAAATTCATATGATTACGGGGGCTACAACGCACTTGCATGTGAATTTTTTTTTGCACTCCAAGATTTGGGTTTTAACGTTTTAAGTATGGCAGTGAGCCTGTACTATTTGTTTCAATTCTGTCCCCATGCATGCTCCGTGTGAGTATTGCTTTTTGCACTCCAAAAGTTTGGTTTGTATGTTTTTGGAGAGAGCCAATTTATCAAGCCGTGCCTAGATTTTCATTTTTATAAATTAAAATTATAATCCAACAATTCATTTTATCTCTCTTTTTTCATTTATTCTCTCTAGAATCTTCTCCTGCTGATTATTATTGATGAGAATATCAGAAATGGGTGAAATAATGGATATTGAAGAATCAGAAATTGAAAAGCTTCCAACTGATCTTTTGTCTCATATATTCCTCCTTTTCTCTTCTTTCACTGATTTAGCTCAGTAAGTATTTTTTATTTTTATTGTCACGTCAATTGTGTAATTTAAATTTAAGATACGCACTAGTAACTAGTAACGTGACAATTAAATCGTGGTTGTTGTCGGCAGAGGAATTAATTTCCACTTACGACTTTTGAATATTTTTTATTTTCTAACATGTTTATGTATGTAAATGAAGGGCAAGTTGTGTGTGTAAGAAATGGAGGGAAGGGGTGAAGCAATCAATGGGAAGGAGGCAAAGTTTGAGCTTTTCTGGATGTAAAATGGATGATGCCTCTACTTCTTGCCTTGTTCATCTTGCCTTCTCTCTCAAGGAACTTGACATGTATGACCAGTTTTTAATTTCTTTATTATTTCATGCTTAAAATTCGTATTATTTTATTTATCTAATCCTTTGTTTTGGACAATAATTGAATCTTTCAAACAGAGTTTGATTTTTTTTTTTTCTTCTTTAAATATACTTGTATGTTTTTGTGTTGTTGGGTTTACTCTAAACTCATGTGATTGGATGGAGTAATAAAATAAATCTGATTATTTTATTGTTAAAATTGCATGATCCTTCTTGACTGAGCTTAATATAAAGTTTAGTTTATATAAAGCTAAACTCAATGAATACTGAAAGAAGGCTCTGATCTGCAACAGTGTACTTAGTTTGCTTGAACAATGTTCTAACAGTGTACTTAGTTTGTATAAAGCCAAACCCAATGAATGCATTTGGTTACAGGTCTCAAGAGCCACTTCTTTGCAGCACCTCAACATTGGCGGAACATTTATCACCGATGAATCTCTATTTGCCATTGGAAACAATTGTCTACATTTGAAGGTTTTTTGTAATATAAACTGGGTTATTGTAAGTATTAAAGTAGTTAATTAAGGATAGTTTTCTGGTAGTATGTTGGTCTGATAAATTTGCATTTGTTCATATCATGCAGATTATAGTGTTATTTTAATTTTTTAGACAAAAATTGTAATATCACAGCATTTTTTGTGAAAATATGTAATTTATACATATGTTAGTGTTTATTTATCAATTTAAGTGAAAAAAATGCAAATTTTTTTATATTTTTTTTTATTTTTTTTGGCCATTATTGGCACCGGTTCCTACCGGTGCCAATAACCCTTTTAAAAAAGCGGGAAAGTTATATTGCCACCGGTTAACCGGTGGCAATACTTATTTTTGCCACCGGTTTTGAACCGGTGGCTTTGTATCTGACTATTGCCACCCCCCAAATGACCACCGGTTCAAAACCGGTGGCATTAAGGGGGTTTTGAACCGGTGCCCAAATGGTTTTTTCGCCTATATATAAGTACAATAAGTGCAAGATAGTGTAAACTCAATTTGTTTGCAAACATGCTTTTAAAACCAATTTTGATAATTAATCCAATAAATTCAAAACTCATTATTCCAAAACTGATTCCAATGATTCAATATTCAAAATAATAGTTAATAAAACCAATTCCTTTATTAAGAACCAATTCCTTTTAATCCAATTCCTCACCCAAGTGTGCACACCCCCCAAGCTAGTCTCCTTATATTACAAGGATATTCTTGAGGAAAGACCCGATCATACAAAGTCCAAGGCCTTATCAATAAACCAAATCCGCATAGTGGGATTACTAACATGCTTATAAAGCATTAATAATAATAATTCAATGATTCAATAAATCCTTTTAATATCCAATAGTTCCCAATATTATTTGAACACGATAAGTAATCCAAACCATTCAAAACATGATTTAAAAATCAATCATTCAAATACTTTTATTAAAATATATACCTTCAAACATAGTTTATTTCAAAATCAATTTAATTCAATCACCAATCAAATCATATAAAACATGTTATTCAAACCAATTACTTTCAAAGGTATCTAGCCACCTAAACGTACCTTGATCCTTGCTAGAAAAACCACACAAAAAGAACCTTAATAACCTTGATCGAACACACCCTACAAATAAATATAACCTTAATCAATATAAGGTTAACAAATAATTAAAAACCCCCAACTATATGTACATGAACCTTTTAAATTAATTTCTCATAAACACCATTAAAAATATGATTTTATAAGAATAAAACTACTCATAATAATTATTTATAAATACCCCATAATAATAATAATAATTGAATAAGAGAAGAGAATAAGAAAAGGTAAGAAACCAAGGAAAAGAGAAGAATTGGATTTGCGTTGGAAAGAATAGGCAGAACTTGCAGAGGCTATAACTCCTTCGATATAACACCAAATTGGGTGATTATTGAGCCTAACCTCAAGGATTTTTTGAGAGGAACAATCTTTTGTGAAACACCAATACCCAAAACACTGACCAAAAGTGCCCGAAAATTGGCTTCAAAGATAAACGGGATGATTTGTGTAAAAAGAGGAGAAGAAAAGTAGAGAATTGGTGTGAATAAGTGGGAAGAATTAAGGGTCTATTTATAGTGTTGAGGGTGTAGAAAGGATAGAGATTAAGGTGTGATATGATTACTAGAAAATGTGATAAGTTTTTGGGGTTGTTAAGGTACTTGAATCAAATTAAGTCTAGATTAATAGTTGGGTTAAAAGATAAGAAAATTTAAATGGATATACATATGGTTGGGAGAAGAAATATAGGAACAAAATGAGATAATGAAGAAGAGAATTAGAGTTTAATTTAAAATATAATAATTAACAAACTAATGTGATAACAATCACTCTTCAAAACATGATCAAATCACGTTTCACAATTTTTTTTTTATTATTTTTTTAATATAAAAACGAAAGTACTAATAAAATAATTGAATAAATAAATATTTTAGATAATATAACATTAGTTAAATACAGAATGTATATTAGATATTTCTCTTGAAATAGTTAGTATAATAAAATATGGACCAACCTTAAAATAGATAATTAAACCTATATTATTAATTTAGAAATTCGAAAATAATTAATTATTCAAATGATTAAATACTTATATTTGGCGCCAAATTCAAATATTATTTTGACTCCAATTAATGAATTTACTAAAATACCCTTTTTATAAAACAATTCTTCATTAATTAATTTTAAAATACGTATGAAAATACGGGGTATTACATATATAATGAGATGAGAGGTATGCACACTCCAAAAGACAAGCATATAAGTCCAGTATAATCTCTTATATTCAATATGATTGGAAATCTCTATGATCAAAAGTTGATCAAATGACATTATTATTCTTCATCCATTTCATATATAGTTAAACGGTTGCTTAAACTCTAATATGAAAAATGATTAAACTCTAATATGAAAAATGATTGAATAGACTTAGAAAAATCATGAAATGTGCTTAAAGTAGTTAAGCAAAGCATCATTTTAAACCTAAGAGAAGTGTTCTAAGTGACTCAAATGGGAAAAGTTTAAGAATATATGAGGATTACATTAAGAAATTACAGGCTAAGAAATGCAAACAAGTTGCTACTTCTCAAACCTAGAACTACTTACATGCTAAAAGTTGCTATGACCAACATATGTTTCAAATTAAATGGACCAATTCCAATTGATTAGAAACTACCTCATATAGTTGGAAGGTTAAATAATGAAAATGTTCCAATTTAAGAAGTATATTATACAAATTGATTTAGCATATTGCCATGTCTTGGACATACGATGTCTTGTTTAGTTCACTCATTAAAAAATGTGATTGGACTAAAGGAAGAAGTTATGGCTAAGGGAGAAATAAATCTAAAAGTTTTGAAGCACATGTTGCTACTTCACAAGTAGAATCTATAAGTCTGGAAGCAAAAGTTGCAACTTTACAAGTAAAACTTATATTTCACCTTACCTTGTCATTGGCTTGAACTAAATAAAAGTTATTCATTTTTGCCATTATCAAAACACCATTCAATGTTAGTAATAACTAAACATCGAAGATTCAAAAAGGTGGAATAAATGTTATTTTATGCTTCATTGAGTTATACAGTGTTTTGAATTGCTAAATAGGTTTAAAGTTCAATATGATAGAAATAATTAAACCATTTCAACATATATAAATTGTCTCTAATATGTCTATTAATTCAAATGAAAATGAACATTACATGCGGAAGATCCAAAGGGATAGACTTTCAATATCATTAGATTATGAATCCATTGATATATGTAATTATCATTCTAATTTGAAACTTTGACAAAGTCACCATTTAGAGAAATGATGATGCAAACTTGAGGTCGAATACATATTGATGTTAGAAAACTAAAGGTTCAGAGGTTAGAGACGAAGAATGAAACTTCATTTATGATATGATCACTTGTGCTTAGTTAAATCATAAGTGTGAAAGTTTTGAAAAGTTCAAACGTTCCAGTATGAAGTTCAGTATCAACTTGACAAGATAATGATTACATTACAATATGATTGTAATAGTGAAAATTTGAGTTAAGGCATTTACTTGGAAATATATTCAAAATATTGCGATATGATCGTAATAATGAGAATTTAAGCCAAGACCTTGATAAACATCCAAGAGTTGTGAAATCGTGTTACAACGCACTCCGAAAGAAAACCTTGTGAAGTGTTTATGAAAGGAGCATCAATCTGTATGAGATATATATTGATAGTGGATGAAATTACCTATCTTCCAACCATTGTTCAGGGATATACTTTTAAGATGAGCTACAAAACTAAATAAACTATATATGTCAAATCAAAATGTAGCAAAGACTTCATATATGACATGGATAGGAAAAGTTCTTATAAAGTCTTTCTACAAAGCAAGGAATAAAAGTTGTATTAAATCATTTAATGCACGATCTAATCCTATACAGAGCACAGGGTACTACCACACAAATCACATTTAGCACAAAATGTTTGTTGCTCAAGCAATGCCCTTATGGAAGTTGTTCCAAAAGGTCAAGTAGGAGTAGTATAAATCTCGAAAGAGTTCAAGAAAAGCAACAAACAAACGTGGTTCAAACCATGATTGGTTCACCCTGTGCTAAATGTGCCTCCTCAAAAGGCAAGTGGGAGTATAAGAATCTCGAAAAGTTTGAGAGCCTTGAAAGAGTTCAAGAAAAGTGATTTCAAAAATCTTAAAGAAATTTGAGAAGTAATCGAATCAAAGCAACAATATGAGCATGATTCACCTCATGTTACAAATGACAATGCGTGGTCTCATTAAGTGTAATGGGAGTAATAACCATGTGTCGAATGTAGTACATTCCAAGTGCATATCCTCTATTGTGGTTTCTCATTGAAAACTAAACAAAGTTGTTGTATAAGTTTCAATTGTTTTATCTAAACCCACTATGATGACTAGGATGTGTAAAACTTAGCCAAAGAAATATGATTTCATATTGACTAAGAGTTCTAATATATTAATTTTGTAACATTATGATTATGCAAGTAATAAAGATGACAAGTTATAACCCCATGTTGTTTAATAACCAGGAAATCTTAAATAGATCCTAAGTCTGTAAGCAATTGTATGACACTTGATTTATTTGCCTTATTAGGTGAGACCCATTATAAGCAAAATAGACAAGAAAGAGAAGTGTTTTCTAAATAAAGCAAAGACTTGTTAAATGATTCAACTAATTCATAGTTAGACTATGACTACGATGAAACCTTTACATTAGTCATGTTGCAAAGATCTATTAAAAATATTTTAGTGATTTCTACCTTATGAGATTTGGTAGATGGATTTCAAAGCTCTCTCTTGAAATGGTTCATGAAAGAAGATTTGTATATGATTGTAGGGAATATTTCAAGCATCCCACACTCGAGCAAGATTACACCCCTTAACGATCCAGGAGACCGTTAACTCCAATAGGTTTTGAATCATGACTGGAAGTTCGGGGATGAATGTACAAATCCAACCTAAAAGAGATTGAACTTGCCCTAAAAATAGGCCTCTAATTTATTCTTCTCGTATTCATGTGCACTTTCTGACTAACATGAAATCAATAGGTTAACCCTAAACCTGTTTAATCTATGTTGGTTGAATATTAATGCATAAACAAATCTATTATTGGCGATCATTTGAATTATAATCATATTAACCTAAACAAGATTATTAATTATCTTATTAAGCATGATTAC